TATCCAGAAGTTGCCCTGGCTGAGCCAATCTCCTGACATGAACCCCATCGAAAACCTCTGGGCCATACTCGACCGGCAAGTCAAGAAACAACCAAAAAACCAACGTCGAAGAGCGATCTACTCCAAGTTTTGGAGCAAGAGTGGGTGAAAATCCCACAATCTAAAATTGACAAGATGATTCTTACGATGCCCCAAAGGATCAACGAACTCCATGAAGCGAAAGGAAGATCCACTAGATATTGATTAAATTATAAATATATCGATTCATGTGAATATGACTGAAAAATTTCATTTTTTCTGAAAAGGTAGTGTCTATTTACTTGTGACCACGCTGTGTATATATCTTCCACCTTATTTATGTAGTGTGTTTATTATCTGAATATGCAACAAACGATATTACAGTTTTATCTGAAAGTGATTTTAAAAGCATAATTTATTTGAATTAATTTTTGTATTAGTGCTACAAAAATTAACAAAAATATTTAAAAATCCTAATCCAGAATGAAAGCTTTTTATAACCATAAAGCAATTTTTCATAAGTGTTGAACACAGTTTCAGGAAATAACACACTAAAAGTATAAAAAAAGTGATTGATCTATCACTGAAACATGTCTATGCCATGTAGTGAAACCTGCATCAATCACTGCAATTAAACTGATGAATACAAATAAACAAAGTGGTTTTGTACATAAAATGACAATTCAAATATTCCATAAAATAAGTATGCATGAAGTTCGTTCCTCTCATTCCATGAACTGAGAAGCTACAAGTTTTATTTCACTAACATTTTCAAGTCACCCATTATTTCAGTTTTAATCTTACTGTATTACTCTGGCATTTAATACCAATATACCTGAATAAAACCATAATATTTTTTAAAATCAATGTTATGGCCCTTGAGACTACACTTAAAATACAAGGTAACCTGCCTCTCTAACATTATGTTGGACTTTTGTTTTTTTATCAGTATTTAACGTAAAGTTACTGACTGTCATCAAAACTGTGATACTTTCCTTAGATTTTTTATTAAAAGTGATCTGAAATAATGAAACTGGTTTATAAATTGCAACATAAAAGAATATACTGGTCCAAGATCAGGAAGCCAATGAAATTATGTATTTATGGCAAAGTTTGAAACTTGATTTATTTTTAGTACCAAAAGTTATTACATTTTGATTTAAAATGATTAAGGTACAAAACATGTTACTTTTCTCAATAAAAGTTTCATCTGGCTATAAAATATATTATCAAGAATCAATATGTCTTTCACTATGTTCTCTTGACTGTATATTTTTCAAATTATGTATTGAATAATTAAAAATCAACAGTTAAAAGGTGATTTAATTTTCACTCAGAAAAAGGAACAAACTGAATATGAAACTAATAACTTCGGAATTTTGAGCTACCATATAAAGCAAAACATGTTCTATTGTGCAGCATTTGAAAAACAACTTACTCTTATGTTTAGTTAGTTAATTTTTTAAAAACAAGTTTACAGGTATACTCATAATGTCTAAATTATATTACACTAAATATTATATTGAAAATAATGAAGATTCTGATATTATACCTGTATTCCATAATTAGCATTAAATGTAGATTAACTGCATCTGCTAAGTTGTTACAAGATGTTCTAAATAGGGTTGGTTATAATACAAGAAATATTCCGATTCAGGCTGAAATAAGATATAGTTAATATTACAATATCTATTTTTTTAATTTGTTTGCTGTTAAACAAAAAGTTGCACAATGGACCATCTGTGCTGTGCATACCACTTGAATCATACCCAAAATTTTAGCATTATAAGTCTTCATATTTACTGCTGAGTCACAAAAGAGCTATGATTGTTTTGCTCTTTTGTTAAGTACATAACCACACAATGGAGTACATGTACTCTTTCCACCATTGGTATAGAAACCCAGTTTTTCCCATTATAAGCCCTCAGACATACTACTATGCACCTGAATAGGAGGGGGGCTATTTTCAATTTAAAAATAGCAAAAATAGATGAAGCAGTAACCATTACAGAAAAGTTTAAAACAAGAGAGAAAGAAACAATCTAAAATGATACATCCCCCCATCCACACCAAATCAAAACAAACAACTGATACATTAGAGAGAAGACAGCAAGACAACACCACCAATCAGCAACTCTTGTGTTACCCTTAAATGAATAGTTGAATTTGACCAATAATTTTGGTATAAACATACAAAATGCAGAGCATTATTTTGTGTCAACAGGATGCAAACCATGAACCCTCAGATTCACAGTGACACATACTAACCACTATATCATGCTCAACTTTGTAACACTGCTGAGTATAAATGTAAATAAAGAATTTGTTGACAAGTCAACACCATATCTATTATAGCCTAGTGCTTATATAATCTTCTGACACATCCTGAAGAAGGCTTTGTGCTTAAAATACTGTGACACATCATAAACTCTGCCATCTGTCACATAGTTATGTTTTCACCTATTCATTATGAAGTGCTTTTCTCATATGGTGTTGGAACACAGTGCACCATTTTCTGTACCAATCATTCACACACCTGAAATATATGATATGAATATATTAATTTCCAGACAACTAGAAAATGCTTGAAACCCATGAATATCCTTAAGTTTTTTCGTAAGATTCTCACGTTTTGGTAATGTATCAATAACATAGATTACACTATCATTTTATCTTTAATATGAGCTGGTACTAAGATCAAAACTTAAACCAATGTTGTTTTTTCTTGCTTTATGAATATTTTTTTATGTGTGCTATCACTGAATAACTGTTGGTACTGAAAAGAAACCACAAATAAATACAGCAAACCCTACTATACAAGCCAAAAAGAAATTTAGTGTAATTTTTTCCCAAAACCCTTGTTTAAGGGAAGCTACATCCTTCAGATGTTTATAAAGTTCTAGTTCCTTTTCCTCTCCTTTTGCGGAATGGTCAAATCCACAAAACCAGTTGTAAAAATTGGTGACATACGATAATATTGTCTTTTCTTTATTTTTCTGTTGGACTTCTGAAAAGATAAAATATATGAAATAACTTCTACAGTTTAGGGAAAAAACAAAGAAAATGGCCACTTTTCAAACAATATTTGTGCCAAAACACTATATTTTGGTCTCTGCTTCATAAACAAAAATTATTTGAGCAACACATATTATGCAGTTCATGAAGAGCATGCAATGCCAACTTGAATGTAAACTGTAATATTATAGTACAACATTTTTCAATATTTCTCTGCATGAATACACATCCAGACACATAAATATCAAATCTCTAAACATAAAGAAGCTATTCTCAATTTATATATATATATATATATATATATATCAGAATTAATACAGCCTTAAGATAAACAAATTCCAAGAACTTTTCATGATCAATATAGATTTGTTTTCTCAAAGCTTTTTTTCAGAATAGTTTCATTATTATTTTTTACTTAAAGGAAAATGGGACTGAAACAGTTCATGTTATGATGGTTGAGCACTGTGTCAAGTAGAAATGGTAGGAGTTGAAATTTCTTAAAAGAAGGATCTTTTTTTTTTTTAAATACGAGTTTCATTTTTTATTTAGAAAGCAACAATAACTAAAATTTCTGTGGATTTACATATAAATCTAATATTTGAAAAAATAAAGAATGAGACTGAATTTTGCAGTTTAAAAAGTGATGAAAACTGACCTTGGTCTGCATCTTCAGTGTGTTCTTTCTCAGTTTTCTCTTTCAGATTTTCAGCTCGCTTTAATTCTAAGTTTTCAAGGTCATCTTTACGAGGATTAGAATCAAATCGTGTCCAGTAAGTTGTCCTTATGATCTGTGAATGATATTCTACAATCAAATAGTCTTTTAAACTGTCCTTCCCAGCTGCTATGTAAAATAAATTACATAGCAGCAGTAGAAACCTATCACATCAAAAGGAATTGTGAAATAATGGAAAGATCCAAAAATCCAAACTCTTTAATGAATAAGAATGAAAACAAGCTCTATGTAAACTACAAATATACTGAGTGTCCTCATGAAAAAAATACATGTACAAAGAGAGTTTTAAGTAAAGAACACTGATATTACAGTGAAAAAAATTTTGGTAATGGTCTCAAAGGTCAATACATATAATAAACAGTTTTGATAGAAATGACTAAATACCCTATAACCTGAGCACTTTCGAAAGGTGAACCTTTCTTTTTCAGGGGCAAACTGGGAATGGTGGTGTAATCAAATGAGTGATATATATTAAGAGAGTTTAGTGACATCATGAAGGTCATCCAGTTTTCCAGAAAATGTTTAGTCTATTTCTCTATGTACTATTGTAAGCATCTCATTTCCGGTACAGTGTAGCCGAAAGCGAGAGTGTATGTGAAAAGGTGTTATGGATATTTTACTTTAGAAATGGATAAATATATGTATATTTAAAACTTTACTTAAGTTTAAGTAAAATAAAGGTGGCACCTGAAGACTGATTGCAAATGATACTTTATGCTAATCAATTTATAAAAACAGGTATGGAAAATTATCTCAAATAAATAGTAAGTTTTAGGAAATTCAGTGTTCACATTACATGAAAAAAATAAGCAAAGAATAAAAATTATTTTTCTGACAGAGATGAAACAAATGAACGGAGATCACTGATTCCAGGATCTAGATTAATTCCGAAAGGTTGAACAGTGTTTAGATTAGCAATCCAATAAGCTTCTTTAATTTCTCCATCTGCTTTAGTTTTGAATCCTGTTTCAATGCCGATGAGAGTAACATCGTTAATAGAATGACCGGGTTGGTTAAAGTGTTGAGCAACAGGAAGATCTTTCTCGGTGTTAATAGAAGATTTATGGTTGTTGAAACATTCTCTAAGAGTTGTTTGTGTATGTACTACATATTGGTAATTGCATTTTTTACACTGTATAAGGTAAATGGCATTTTTTTTGTTTCACAAATGCAGAATTGACAATGGACTTTATTACATGCAAAAATGAATTACATCCCACCTAAAAATGTTTGTCTACTGGTTGGTAATGATATCTTCCTGTAACTAAGTAATATCATAAGAAAACCATTATCTGTCATTAGCTACAGGAGGGTATCATTACAAACCAACAGAATGAGAAAATAAGACCATTATTTGTCATTAGCTGTGGGACGATACCATTACCAACATGAAAATCCAGAAAAAATTCATTGGATGTAATAATCAATTAAGACCACCAGGAAAATGTTCTTCATGAAACTTGCCCAGGGCACAAAAATGACTGGCTATGGCTCTGAGTAGAGTACTATCCATGGACGACCATTATCACTCATTTGTGGTAGGAAAATACTGCTATCAACCAGTAGATCCAGATAAAATTCAGTACATGTAATATACAGTTATAGAGATATACTATTTAGTAATGGTATCATTCTTCAACTAATGAATGATACTGGTCTTCCTTGATACTGCTGAAGAACTTTGTGATAATGATCTTTATACTGTGAATTGCATGCATTAATCCTTGCTTGAATATACCCTTGAACTAATAAATGAAAAGGGTCTTGCTTTTATAGTTCTTGTGAATTAGTTAGTACTGGTCTTTATTGTGGTCCACATGCATTGATCTTTACCTGGATCCATCTATTATTAACCACTGACAAGTATCTGGCAAGTTACAAATGGCAATATATCATCAAACTGGACAGAGCATATGTATACTTAAGTATGCGCTACTGTTTAAAACATTTATGTCATTACCAGTTATAACTATAATGGTAATTTAAACATCCAGTGACTGAAGAAAATGTCAAGGTGAACTCTGCATACTATCAGGCTAATGCGCCGACACACAATTTATATTCAGTTCAGTGTATATGTTTAATGTTGTTGCCTAAGAACAAATTTTCAAACCAAAGTTACATGTTTTCCAATAATAAAAACATTCTTACCCTAAAATCCTCAGGAGGCTCTGTCCATACACTGACAAGCACAGCCACAAGTGCAGTTAGCCAAAACAAAATTAAAGCAAAATACATATAATGTAAGCCAGATAAAATGACTGGTCGTGTGTCTTCTTCTCCACAGGATGGTTCAGAGTAAACAGAATCCAAGACCAGTCTAATTAAACCAGTCAAAAATCCTGTTATCAAGCCCCAAAAAGCTCCCTGAAAAAAATCAAGGGTAAAAATTTATGGCATCAATAACCATAAAGCATTGGTAAAAATTCTCCTTTCCTTAAGAAAGTTTAAGAGGAATTTTTTTTCTGAAATACTTGTCTATACATATTTACTAATAAATGACATGGTAAGAAAGCAAACAAACCAACTTATAAGATTTCTGATATTATAATCTAATTGATAGATTTAAATACTTTATAGAATCTTAAACCAAGTTATATTGTCAAACATCTTAATCATCCATTTAATATTTTTTATCATTAGAACAATGTGAATTATCAATAATACATATATATAAATATATATATACACACACACACACATTCTCATTCATTCTCTTCCACAGAATTGCACAGACGTAGACAGATGCAACAGGAGGAGCAAGATTTGCAGATACTGCTTGGATGTAAATGAAAAGTTGGCCACTTTGCATGTTCTGTATAACTGGGATCCAAGCTATGCTCACAGCTACCATGAAAATCACAAATGACCTAAAAATAATAATAATACAGATATTTGAACATATGTTTCACACCCTCGTACATAAAGTTTCTTAAATTTTTAAACTGACCATATTTTGTACAGCATTGATTACTTTCTAAGTGCTGTTCACTGCACAGTAACTTAACTTGTTTTATAGTAGGCATCTTTATGTCTCATAAGACAATAGATACTTGTGCCTGTAAAAAGAGTATCACTCATGGTGAAACTTCCTGATGTGACTGAATAATCCAATTCAAGAAGAGCATGTTCACTGACATCTGTCACATGTATAACTTGTGTGTTCCGAAGTTAGTCGCACAGCTTTTAAATTTTTCTGACCTATTCTCTTCTCTTCTGCTTCTTCCTTTATTCTTTCTGAGACTCAGCTTGACTGCTTGCTTTCAGGTACATCTATTCTCAGCAGTTTTTTCCCACATGTCTGGATTGATGTCCATACACTTGTTATTTATTATATATATATATATATATAAAACAGAAACAACATACTAAAATTGAAACTAAAGACCACTCCTCCACTACCATTCCTTGTTGTCGTCCTTAAGTCATAAAGAATAATGTCTGTGGTTATAGCACCCAAGTGCATTGGGATATTCCATCTATCAGGTAAAATCCAAGTGTCCATGAAAACTTACCAGTAACTAAGGAGAGTCAGTTAAGGGTTAAGAGTTGAGTGCTTGAACCCTCAACATCTAAACTCCAAATGCCTTTTGCTGTGTACAGTCAGTTATGGGAAGGCAGTATCCCTTAGTATTTAGAAATAATATTAATATTAGAAATAATAGAAATTAAAACAACCTGATAAAAATTCTACAAAATAAAACTTCCAACCTCCACCCCGTTCATTGATATTATAAATAATAATATGATATCATTATAGTAGAATTAAGCTACCCTTAGTTGTAGTGAAATGCACCACTTTTGTTTTATTCCCATGCTGAGTTTGATAGAACGTTCAAGAAGTTGCTAAACTGAGCATAAAAGGGGCAGCATCAGACACCTCTCTTCAGTTGCCTCTCACTCACTCAAGTGGTCACTTGACTTCGCTCCATTTACTCTTACCATTTAAACATCGCCATCCCCAAAATTAAATTACAGTTTAATATGCCAAAAAACATCACTCTAAATTTCTGAAACACATTTCAAAATTGCCTTTGTTTCTAATAAATAAAGACTACCATATAATCCTTGCATAATACATAAAGCAGGCCTCCCAGCAGTTTTCCAGAAATATATAAGAATTTAACTCTATGTGAATGGAGTTGGTGCTATACATAACAATGTTTATTTTAATTCCACTTTTATTAGGTGTTTCTTCACAAAATTTAGTAGCCTTTTAGAAAGCATTACAATTCTGCTGCACAGAAAAAGTAGTTTTGCTAAAGATTTGTCTGGGAATATACTGAGTCAGTCCAGCTCAAACTCTGAATAATCAAAGTGCAAGGTGATTTTCATACTAAGAATAAAAATACTTGTTTTCATCTTATAGTTTTCAAATTTCATCTGCAATAGCCTCTAAAGCTTCCTAAATGAATATCAAAAATTGTTGTTTTTTTCAGTAAAACTTTGTATTTTATCTGTTATTTTCTCTAACTTAACACCAACTGTAGGGAAATTGGAATTTAGGGAAAAGGAACAGTTGAAAAATACAAAATAAATACCAATTTTATCTTTTTAGAATGAGTGCATATTGTAATAGATCATTACACATAATTCATTCTTACAGTCAAAGCTAATGCTTTTTATAGCAAGACAGCTTTGTGTAAATAAACAATTGAGTTACCAGCACACAATAATTGAATTAAAATCAAAAAACATGATGTGCACATGCTAGGAAAATGAGTATCATATATTTTTTTTTTATTTAAGTTTTCCTATCTAACTTAATAAGTTTCTAATTTTTATATTTCAGTTACTTTTATAAATATAAATAAAAATTAAACATAAAAAACAAAAGATTTACTATTTACTTCTAGAGTTCAGACCTTTTGTCATCAATGACAAAGCACTGTAGGCTTACTTTTAGATAATGATGTTGGTTGCCCAATATGCTATTTCAAACCCAAAATATTATCACACACAAAAGTATTGTACAAAAACTACTACAATTTAACTGCTTTCTAACTAAACTATAAATTTACCTTACTTAGCAATATTGTTAATACAATTGTGTAATTAGTAGCAAACTCAGAACATTATATATATATATGGGCAGAAAGGAAATATAAAATGGACGACTCAGAGCAAAGAAGTATCGCATGATACAGAGAAGACAGAATTTATTTAAATATGTCCTTTTGAAATTAAAACACTAAAACTTATATAATATTAAAATTCGAATTATAAACTATATTTTATGCCAAGTTTATTGACAAACATTGATAACAAAGTTTCTTCATTAAATTTTCAACGCATTTTTTCTAAAAAAAAAGAAAAAAAAGTTATGTTATGCACACTTTGACCTCCCACCATACACATAGGTTTAAAGAATGAAAATAATATATATACGACAATGCAATTAAATAGAAATGTTAGTTACATACATGATAAGCTTATCATGGTATCTATAACCTTTTAAAACATACTACCTGTGATCATGTACAATCAATACTGGAGCTAGTAAATCCTACATTGAATTATCATCTATGATGAGCATCTGGAAATATGAGTTACTGCATAAAATTAAAAGCTGAAAGCAAACAGAATCCTACAATATGTACTAGAGCCATTACTGTGTCAATAATAAATTGTTTTAAAATTTCTTTGTCAAATTATTAATACATCATTGATAGCAATGGCACACATAAAACACATTTTTCTAACAAAAACTACAGGCATGAGTCTCAGAGGCAATATTAGTCAGCCTCAATGTTAGTAATTATTATTAAGTAAAAAGATAAACAACAGAATATTTAACATGCTTGACTATTATAAATTTCAACAATGAGCAAACTATCAACATTTGTACAAGTCATATAATACATGCAAACAGTTAAGACATACTAAATCTAATTATGTGTTAAGTTCAACATTTGCTTACCACTTAATGGGCTAAAACAGTTAAGATATATTAAATATTAATTATTTGTTATTGAGTTCAATACTTGTATACAAATTAACGGCTTATATAGAAAACTCATATTTTTACCATTTCTTTTTTGGTGGATCATCATTTTGCTTTTTCTGAAATCTAGTTTTTTTCCACATGACATTTTGAACTTAATAACTATATTAAATTTTTTGTAACATTCATATTTATATAGTATCATTGATAACAATCTCTACCTTAATGAAATGAATTTATCTTCTTCAAATGTATCATTTAAATGCTTCTATCAAAGTTGCTTAAATCAGACCAAATATAGTATGTATGATTCAGGATTTATTTGTTTAGTATGCTTCAACTATTATTACACAAAATATTACATAAAAATGACAAATTTGAAGAATAAAAGGAAAAGAGAACTTTCTCTAGATTAAGTTCATTGGGAAGAATAGGTAAAAACTAAGTAGTATGCAAAACTTACTTTTAACTGACTTACTCCATACAGCTGACACATGACAAGTGCATTCCAAAATGGTCTCATTTTTCACCTTGATTTCTTCTTATACACAAGTATATAAATGCATCTTAGAATCTACTTAATAAAGCATGGAAAAAATACAAAAACAAACAGGAAAACACAATTTTAGACTAAAAACAAGAAAAAGAGTAGAAGTTACTGGGAGGCCTGATAAAGGAGAATGCATTCTATGAATATACCACACATACATTTCAAATGCCAAATTAAAACATCTTTTCTCATTACAGTCAACAATTCAATGGAAATGATATTTTATGTCATATCAGTCAACGATCACCTTCCAACAATCATTAGCTCTTTAACAGATGCTTTCTTCCGGACCTGTGGCCAGATGTCAATGGTAAAGAGGGTACTTGCACTATTAAATATGGAGGTCAGGTCACTCATTAGTGCTGCTAACATAACTGCCATCATTAATCCTCTCAAACCTAAAACATGAAAACATTTTTAGTATTTTGAATAAGCTGAATTACTTAAGATTAACACTTTTTTTTTTAGAAACACCTTGTAAATAGAGTGTAATATACAAAGTAATACTGTACATAAACATCTTCAATTGTAAAATCTAAACTACCTGTAAATTGTAAGTTTACAAGTCATGAAAAAAGAAGCTTAAACAGAATTAGGGAGTCCAAAAAACTGCATCAAATATCCTTTAAATTTCCTTTAAAGATTTTTATATAAATGCATTTTCTTTTTAACTACTAGTTAATTTTAAACTTGATTTATTTTATGAGATTACATAATTCATATTTTTTTTGTACAGCAAAGAGACTTGTAGTTTTTTTCACATTAAAACATTTTGACTCTTCTGCTAGAGTTTCATCAGGTTGAGTGTGTGATTGTTTATAATCAACAACAGTGGTACAAAAGTAAAACACAAACCTACCAAAAAACAAATAAACCCCATGTGATAACAAGAGAACCCCAATTTCTACTAAAGGTTTGTCTATAAATTTACAAAACCTTTCCTGAGTCAATCTGAGTGAAAAGTTATCCTCATGCTAAGAATAGAAATAATTCTTTTTACTTTACAAATTTCATATTTCACTTGCATAACCTCTACTAACTACCAAATGAAGATAAAAGTTATTTTCTTAACTATAAAGAAGCCATTAATGTACAGTGAAACATGAAGTTCAAAAATATAAACAAAATAGTTGCTTGTTTGTTAAATTTTGTGAAAAGCTACTCAAGGGATAGCTGTGCTAGCTGTCCCTAATTTTGGAATGATACACTAGAAGGAAGGCAGTCAATACCACCCACAACCAACTCTTGGGTTACTCTTTTACCAACAGATAGTGTAACTGACTGTCACTGTATTTGTACCTACTGGAGAAGGAATTCTTCAGCCAAAAGCTATAAATCACAGCAGAAGCCCATTAACTGTTTGCCAACATAAATACACCAATTGACATGAGTGTTGTGTTTTATACTGTACTGGAGTTCCTGAAATTTTAGATGTATTATAGTACTGAAGTTGTGCTAGGCTAAACTGAGAAGTTAATAATTTTTACATGTTAGTTACTTTTGTTAATATATATATATATATATATATATCAATATACAAAAAATATAACTAAAAACATAAGCAAGCCTTTTGCAATCAAATAAAAAACCAAGATAATGGTTGGAGACGGCTTGAATGGGTAATGA